CGTGCAGAAGCCGCCTGAGGTACCAGTTGGCAGACCCGCTGATCGCCACGAACAGAGAAACCTACCAGCCGGGAGTCTCCACAAAGATCCCACCCCCACCCTTCACTCCCCATCCGAGCAGAGAGGCTCCATCCCGCCAAAGCTGCCCGACACAGGCAGCTCGACAAGCCACCGCCAGCCGGCCCAGCGGGGGCTACCGGGGTCCCAGAGACACAGAGGGCTGCCTGCAGATCACCCGCGCAGAAGCCACCTGAGGTACCAGTGTCAGACCTGCCGATTGCGATAAACAGAGGAACCCCTGAGCCGGGAACTTGCCCCATGACGGGAGCCCCAGAGCTACATGGAGCGCCCACAGAACACCACAGCAAAAGACCTGCAAGGAACTGGTGCTGGTGTAAACCCCAGCGCTCAGAACCTGTATGGAGGCCCAGCCCCCACCCCTTGTGGACCCGACAGCTTCGACAGAGGCAGAGACAGAAGAGAATCACACAGAGCCAACACCGCCCAGCCCAGCCCGCAGCCACCCCAACTGAACTCGGATTGCAACAGCAACTGATGGCCTACACCACACAGAAACAACTAGATCCAGGGTGAGTACCCCACAGGGGACAGTGTATCCCTCAAGGGAGACCAGACCTGGAGGAAATCCCCAGATCCTGACCTAGACTTCCTACCCCAACACCCGGACCACAGGACCCACTAAAACTGGGAACTGTTCGAGAGCTCCACCAGCCTGTGGAGCACACTCTGCTGGCCAGGCTAGAGCAAGAGCACCCCTGGAAGGGAGCTTAAACGCCCAAGCCAGGAACAGCGCCCCTGGGTCAAGACAACCAACAGTAGAAGAAATTTGACCTGTGTACCCCAGGCTGTATAACCTAGGTGGTATACACAGCAGCACAGGCCCGACCGGCGTGCCCCAGGCGGGAGACCGGGACCAGGCCTGGGGATCTGGCGCCTGAACAACACAACCAACTCCTCCCAACTGAAGTCAAAAGGTGAGCATATGCCTCAGCAGGGGGGAGAAAAACAGGGAACTGTACCCCCTGGGAAGCACACTTGTGACAGCAAAAGACTTGGAGGCTCAGGACAAGAGAAGCCCAAACCCCACCAAAACCCGACCCATATACTCTAGACTGGGAATTGGGTAACACAGGCCACCAGCACTGATAGTAGGCAGGAGCTCAGGCTGGTAAGGTGGCTCAGCAGTAGAGTGCTAGTCTTGGGTGCATGAGGCCCTGGATCTGATTCCTCAGCATCACATAAGCAGAAAGGGTCAGAAGTGGTGCTGTGGCTCAAATGGTAGGGTGCCAGCCTTGAGCTGAAGAGCTGAGGGACAGCACCCAAACCCAGAGTTCAAGCCCACAACCAGCTAAAACACAAAAGAATCAGGAGCCCATAGCAGACTCCAGCATCTGGGAGAATGCATCCAGAACATCCAGTCTTGCCAAGAGCACCCGTGGGAACAACAGGAGCAGTCTAGGCTGCTCAACCCTTCCAGAGGCGGGAATTGCCAGCGATCTACAGCAGAGAGCTGAGAATCCTATGTAGGTCAGACCAGCAGCTGGAGGTAGGCCCCCAACAGAACCCAGATCAGGCACAGACTCTCTCTACCAATACAGAATCAGCAACCAAGCAAAGACAGACACACCAAAACAAAATTGCAGATTAGTCTCCAATAATCCCCGAACCCCCATGTGAAAATCACAGGGAAAAATTACAAGGTTTATCAACACCCAGGATAGCAAGCTATCCTCAATAGCCAGCAGCCACTCAGGGGAGAGCCCCAGTGGGAGCAAAGCAGGAATGGAAGACAAAAGCTACATCCAAGGGATGCTGGAGGCAATGACTCAAGAAATAAAGCGAGAAAAAGACCAGAAATGGAAAGAGCACAAGGATGAATTATCAAAAGAGATACAGGATATCAAACAGGAGATGCATGCAAAAATAGAGGCTGCACAAACCTCAGTAAGAAGTGAGATAAATGCCCAAATAGAGGCAGTATATATCTCATGAAGAGGTGAGATCAGTACTTTGAGAACCAATATCGAATCCATAAAGGAGTCCATTTCCTCCATGCAAACCACAATAGAAGCCACAGTTAACACAGTGAACGAAATGGAATGTAGAGTGTCAGATACAGAAGACAGAATATACCAAGTGGACCAAAAAGTGACAGATATGGAAAAAATCACTCAAATTAAGCCAAAGGGAAATTCAAGAGCAAGCAGATAGTGCCAAGAAATTTAACCTTTGTATAATTGGAGTGGACGAAGGTGAGGAATTCCAAAGCAAGGGAATGCAACACCTATTCAACAAGATAATCGGTGAAAATTTTCCCCACCTCAAAAAAGAACATCTTACCTACATAACAGAAGTGTATAGAACACCCAACAAGCAAGAGCCCAGGAGAAACACTTCTAGACACATTATAGTAAAAATGATAGATCTGAATAAGGAAACAATCTTGCATGCAGCAAAAATGAAGAAGGAGCTATACTACAATGGGAAAAAAATTAGAATCACTGCAGATCTCTCCACACAAACACTGAATGCAAGAAAGACCTGGGAAAAGCCCTGAGAGCCAATAACTGCCAACCCAGACTGGTATACCCGGCAAAGCTAGCATTCACATTCGACGGAGAACTGAAAATTTTTAATAGCAAAGAAAAACTAAATGAATACATAAACATTAAGCCAGCACTACAAAGAATACTAAGAGGGGGGACACAACCTGAAGAAAGCAACCAGGAACTGGGACCTGCACCCAGACAGGCATTAATAGAAGTCTTACTGAGCAAGCACAGGAGGAAAGGAAAGAAGAAAAACTGAGGAAAACAGGGAATGACAGGGACCACAGTGCATCTGTCTATACTATCTCTTAATATTAATGGGCTTAATTCGCCAATCAAAAGAAAAAGAACTGCAGATCAGAAAACATGACCTATCCATCTGTTGCCTTCAGGAGACCCACCGCTCAGCCAAACATACAAACTCAGAGTAAAGGGTTGGAAAAGGATCTACCAATCAAATGCCCCCAGTAAGAAAGCAGGGGTAGCTATCCTGATATCTGACAAAATAAACTTTTCATTAAAATCAGTAGAGAAACACAAGGACGGACACTACATATTAATACAGGGAACAATCCAAGAGGAGGATATTACCATCATCAACTTATATGCCCCAAATATTGGGGCACCCAGATATGTTAAACAAATACTCTCAAACTTACAGAATAAAATAAATCCCAATACGATAATACTAGGAGACTTTAACACACCACTCTCACCAAAGGACAGGTCTACCAACCAGAGGATTGGCAAAGAAGCTACCGAATTAAGTGAGGCCACACTTCAAGCGGAATTAACTGACATCTACTGAGCATTTCACCCTAAAGCAACACAGTACACATTCTTCTCAGCAGCTCATGGAACTTTCTCCAAAATAGACTATACCATACTTCATGCAAAGAACTTGAGCAAATACAAAGGGATCGACACAATCCCCTGTATCCTATCTGACCACAGTGTAATCAAGCTAGTTCTCAATAACAAAGCATACCACAGAAATTTCTCTAATACATGGAAATTGAACAGCCACTTCGTAGCAATGCCTGGGTAACGGAAGAGATCAGAGAAGAAATAAAACATTTCCTACAACTCAATGAAAATGCAAACACCTCGCAAAGAACCTTGTGGGACACAGCAAAAGCAGTACTGAGGGGTAAATTTATTGCCCTCAGTGCCCACATCAAGAAAATGGAAACAGACCAAGTAAATAATCTCATGTTGCAGTTAAAACAGCTAGAAAAACAAGAAAAAAATGGATCCTAAAGTTACTAGATGGAGCCAGATAACCAAATTAAGAGCAGAGATTAACCAATTAGAAAATCAGAAAATTATAGCCAAAATTAACCAAACCAAAAGCTGGTTCTTTGAAAAAATAAATAAAATTGATGGCCTGTTGTCAAGATTAATTAAAAAAAGAAGAGAGGAAGCCCACAATAACAGGATTAGGGATGTCACGGGAAAAATCACAACACCTACCCAAGATATCCAAACAATCCTAATGGACTACTTTCAAAAGTTATACTCTATAAAGGAAGAAAACCTGGCAGAAATGGATGCATTTTTAGAGAAATACAAGTTACCCAAACTGAGCAAAGAAGAAGTAAACCAATTGAATAAACCAATATCCTACAACGAGATACAGGAAGCTATCAAAAGTCTTCCAACAAAAAAAAGCCAAGGACCAGATGGATTCACAGCAGAATTCTATAAGACCTTTAAAGAAGAACTAATACCCATACTCTTCAAGCTCTTCAGAGAAACAGAGAAGGGAGCTATCCCAAACTCATTCTACGAAGCCAATATCACACTCATCCCCAAACCAGGGATTTACAACATCATAATGCTGAATATCTACTGAGCTAGGCTTCATGTTAAATTTGGAAAAAAAAATTACAAGCCAATGTTGAACTAGTAAGGGGAGCAAGTATAAAAGATTTTAAGGTAACTAATGGATGAAAAAAATTGCCTTAACTAACAGTTTCATGTCCTAGACAGTGCACATTGAGAACATGTACAAAGAATGTTTGAAAGACCCATGAAAAAACAATGTATTATTCAGTTGGCACTAAGATACACCACAATAAAAGTCAAACATATTTTACTTTATGTTGACATACACAGAGAAAAGTTCCCAATAATGTACTTTAGAAATTTTTTTGCGGGCTGGGAAAGTGGCTCAGTGGTAGAGCGCTTGCCTTGCGTGCCTGAGGCCCTGGGTTCGATTCCTCAGCACCACATAAGCAAAAAGGAAAAAAGCCGGAAGTGGTGCTGTGGCTCAAGTGGTAGAGCACTAGCCTTGAGCTGAAGAGCTGAGGGACAGTGCCCAGGTCCAGAGTTCAGGCCCCACAACTGGACACCCCCCATCCCCCAAAAAAGAATTTTTTTTTTTGCTAATTTTTATCTGTAGTTAAAGACCCATGAAATAATACAAGGGAGCATTGAGCACTGAGGAGTTTCAAGTCCACTATCTGGAAGTCACAGTTATTTTTTCCTCCATTGGTGATGGTTACTAACAGAGCATTGGCTTTTCAGATGGTACCAATTCTGTGATGAGGCACTTGAAGAGTTTGAAGGTTGGGGCATGTGAAATATGGGGCTGGAAGGAAGCATGCTGCTATTCCATTGGAAGCAAAAGGTAGTGTAGGCCCATAGAATACTTCTTCTTTGCCTTCTCTGCTTACATCTAGAACCTGGATAAAAGCCAGAGGCTCATTTGTCCAAATTGAATATCCACCGACTAAATATACTCTCCCATTGTGGACAGCAACTCCAGATTCATTCTGGCCAGTCAACAGGTTAAAATTGCAATGGGTCCACTGATCAGTGTCCATGTTATAAGAATCTGTGTGACTCACAAGAATCCGGTCATTGTTGTAATCCAGATCATTGCCTCCAAGAACATAAAGCTTCCTCTGGATGGCTGCCCTGGAATGGTAGACTCTTCTCTGTAGCATGGGGCTGCAGCTTATCCACTCATTCTAAAGAGAGGGAGAGGGAGAGGGAGAGGAAGAGGGAAAAGGAGAGGAAGAGGGAGAGAGTGAGGGAGAGGGAGAGGGAGATAACAGTGAGCACATTAGCAGTCCTCCTCTCTTCTTTTCTTAATTAATCTTGCCAAAGGTCCATCAGTTTTATTTATTTTTGCAAAGAACCAGCTTTTTGTTTTATTAATTTTATTTATAATTTTCCCATTCTCTAATTAGTTTCTGCTCTTAATTTGATTATCTGGCTACATCTAGTAACTTTAGATTCCATTTTTTTCATGTCTTTTAGCTGTTTTAATTGCAACATGAGATTATTTACTTGATCAGTCTCTATTTTCTTGATGTGGGCACTGAGGGTAATAAATTTGCCCCTCAGGACTACTTTTGCTGTGTCCCCCAAGTTTCTTGGTGATGTGTCTTCCTTTTCATTGAATTGTAGGAAATTGTTAATTTCTTCTCTAATTTCTTCAGTTACCCATGTATTTGAGTAATTTCTGCAGTATGCTTTGTTATTGAGAACTACCTTGATTCCACTGTGGTCAGATAGGATACAGGGGATTATGTCAATCCCCTTGTATTTGCTTAAGTTCCTTGCATGATCTATGATATGGTCTATTTGGAGAAAATTCCATGAGCAGCTGAGAAGAATGAGTACTATGTTGTTTTAGGGTGAAATACTCGGTAGATGTCAGTTAATTCCGCTTGAAGTATGGCCTCAATTCGGTAGCTTCTTTGCCAATCCTCTGGTTGGTAGACCTGTCCTTTGGTGAGAGTGGGGTATTAAAGTCTCCTAGTATTACTGTATTTGGATCTATTTTATTCTGTAAGTTTGAAAGTATGTGCTTAACATATTTGGGTGCTCCAATGTTTGGAAAGTATAAATTGATGAGGGTAATATCCTCCTCTTGGATTGTTCTCTATTAACAGGTAGTGCCCTTCCTTGTTTTTTTGTATTTATTTTAATGAAAAGTTTATTTTGTCAGATATCAAGATAGCGACTCCTGTTTTCTTAGTGGGGGCATTTGATTGGTAGATCCTTTTCCAACCCTTCACTCTGAATTTGTTTGTATGTTTAGCTGAGAGGTGGGTCTCCTGAAGGCAACAGATGGATGGATCATGTTTTCTGATCCAATCTGCAGTTCTTTTTCTTTGGATTGGTGAATTAAGTCCGTTAATATTTAAGGTTATTATAGAGAGATGCATTGTGGTTCCTGTCATTCCCTGTTTTCCTAAGTTTTTCTTCTTTCCTTTCTTCCTGTGCTTACTAAGTTAGACTTCTACTCATAACCCATTCCTGGTTTCTTTCTTCAGGTTGTGTTCCCCCTCTTATTATTCTTTGTAATGCTGCCTTATTGTTTATGAATTCCTTTAATTTTTCTTTCCTATTAAAAATGTTCATTTTGGGCTGGGAAGGTGGCTCAGTGGTAGAGTGCTTGTCTTGCATGCATGAGGCCCTGGGTTCGATTCCTCATCACCACATAAGCAGAAAAAGATGGAAGTGGCGCTGTGTGGCTCAAGTGGTAGAATGCTAGCCTTGAGCTGAAGAGCTGAAAGACAGTGCCTAGGCCCAGAGTTCAGACTCCACAGCCAAAAAAAAAAAAAAAAGCCAAAATGTCCATTTCTCCATCGAATATGAATACTATAATGTGCCAAGAAGTGTTTCTCCTAGGATCCTGCTTGTTAGGAGTTCTATATGCTTCTGTAACGTAGGTAAGATGTTCTTTTTTAAGATGAGGGAGATTTTCATTGATAATCTTGTTGAATAGGTGTTGCATTCCCTTGCTTTGATATTTCTCACCTTTGTCCACTCCAATTATACAAAGGTTAAATTTCTTGGCACTATCTGCTTGCTCTTGGATTTCCCTTTGGCATAATTTAAGTGATTTTTCCTTATCTGTGACTTTTTGGTCCAGTTGGTGCATTCTGTCTTCTGCATCTGACACTCTATGTTCCATTTCGTTCACTTTGTTAACTGTGGCTTCCATTGTGGTTTGCATGGAGGAAATGGACTCATTTACTGATTCAATGTTGGGTCTAAAAGTAATAATCTCACCTCTTCATGAGGTATGTACTACCTCTATTTTTGTACTAATCTCATCTCTTAGTGAGGTGTGTACTGCCTCTATTTTTGTAGTAATCTCATCTCTTAGTTAGGTGTGCACTGCCCTATTTTTTCATGCACCTCCTGTTTGAGATCCTGCATCTCTTTTGACATTTTGTCCCTGTGTTCTTTAAATTTCTGGTCTATTTCTCACTTTAGTTCTTGAGTCATTGCCTCCAGTATCTCTTGGATGTAGCTTTTGTCTTCCATTCCTGCTTTGCTCCCACTAGGGCTCTCCCCTGGGTGGCTGCTGGCTTTTGGAGATAGCTTGCTATCCTGGGTGTTGATAAACCTTGTAATTTTTCTCTGTAATTTTTGCATGGGGATTCAGGGATTATTGGAGACTATCTGAAATTTTGTTTTGGTCAATAAGTGTCTGTCTTTGGTTTGTTGCCATTTCTGAGTTGGTGGAGAGAGTTTGTACCTAGTCTCAGTTCTGTTGGCGGCCGACCTCCAGCTGCTGGTCTGACCCACGTAGGGCTCTTGGCTCTCTGCTGTAGATCACTGACCGTTCCTGCCTTTAGAAGGACTGAGCGGCTTAGACTTCTCCTGTTTACTCCTCCAGGTGCTCTTGGTGAGATGAGTGTCCTGGATGTACTCTCCCAGTTGCTAGAGTCTGCTGTGGGCTCCTGACTTTTTTTGTTTTTGGCTGGTAGTGGGCCTGAACTCTGGGCCTGGGCGCTGTCCCCCAGCTCTTCCACTCAAGGCTGGCACCCTACCATTTGAGCTACAGCTCCACTTCTGGCCCTGTCTGCTTATGTGGTGCTGAGGAATCAGCTCCAGGGCCTCATGCACACAAGGCAAGCACTCTGCCACTGAGTCACCTTACCAGCCTGAGCTCCTGACTATTATCAGGTGCGGGCGGCCTGAGTTGTTCAATTCCTGGCCTGGGATATATGGGTCGGGTTGTGGTGGGGTTTGGACTTCTGGTTCTCTTGCCCTGGGCACCAAGGTCTTTTGCTGTCATGGGTGTGATTCCCAGGGGTGAAGTTCCCTGTTTTCCCTCCTCTGCTGAGGTGTATGCTCAGCTTCTGACTTCAATAAGGAGAAGTCGGTTGTGTTGCTCAGGCACCACATCCCCAGGCCTGGTCCTGGCTCCTGGTCCTGGCCTGGGGCATGCCAGTTGGACCTGTGCTGCTCTGTATCCCACCTGGGTTACACAGCCTGGAGTACACAGTTCAGGTTTCTTCCACTGTTGGCGGTTGTGACCCAGAGGTGCTGTTCCTGGCTTGGGTGTTTAAGATCTTTTCCGGGGGTGCTCTTGATCTAGGGTGGCTGGCTGGGTGTGCTCCACAGTTTGGTGGAGCTCCGGAAGAGTTCCCAGTTTTAGTGGATCCTGTAGTTCAGGTGTTGGGGTAGGGGTCTGGGTCAAGACCTGGGGGTTCCCACAAGCTCTGGTCTCCCTTGAGGAGGGATACACTGTGCGCTGTGGATACTCACCTGGAGCTAGTTGTTGTTTCTGTGTGATGCAGGTAGTTCAGTCAGAGTTCAGTTGAGATGCTTGTGGGCTCAGAGGGCGGTGCTGGCTCTGTGTGCTTCTCCTCTGTCTCTGCCTCTGTGGATGCTGTTCGGGTCAGTGCCGTGGGATGGGCCACTCCTCAGGTGCAGGCTGTGCACTGGCCTCTGGCTGAGTGGTGGGGGAGGGGTCTCCGTACAGGTTCTGAGCACTGGGGTTTGTCTCTGCTTGCTTTACCTGGATCAGCACCAGTACCTTGCAGGTCTTCTGCTCTGGCGTTCTGTGGGAGACCCGTGTAGTTCTGGGGTTCTCGCGTGTGGCCGAGTGGCTTTGGTGGGATGGAGCCCCTCTGCTCAGAGAGTGAGGGGTGGGGGTGGGATCTTTGTGCAGGCTCCTGGCTCAGAGGTTTCTCTGTTCATCACGATCAGAGTCCGAGTTGTGTGCTATTTTGCAACTACATTTGGTGTGTTCTAGAAGCTTCGCAAAAATATTAATAATAGGAGGTTAGTCAGCCTGACAGGTTATGCAGGTAGCCCCTTTCTGATCAGAGCAAGCATACCTGAGTACTCCTGACTGTTAACCTAATCTCCTCCATCTTCTAACACAGTGTGATATCTTAGACCTTCAGCAAAACGAAACTGCCAATTACCTGGACAGGATTTCTGTGTGTTATCTGAAACTGAACTTTTACCTTTCCTTAAAGAGATGGGAAAGTAGTGTCCATGTGAGTTGTATGTTTCTAATACCTCATGATTAATTTGTACTTGAATATGCTGGAATGATCTCATCTGTGTATCTGAAACCCAGCATTTTATCTGATTGTTCTCATCTGTGTACTCTGTATACAGTGGATCTTTAAAAGTACACAGTGCTCAGGTTGGAGGGCATGGCTCAGTTGGTAGAGCGGTGGCCAATGAGTGAACATATCAGGTACTGAGTCTGAGTTCCAGTCTCATACCAAAAACAAAAAAAAATACACAATGCCTTCAATGAGCATATGATCCAATGAGAGAACAGATGCCATTAGAACATTCTTCTGGCGAACACTAAATTCTGGAACGTGTGCAGTGCAGCTTTTCATATGCCAGTCTTGGCATGTTTGAAGTCCTTATCTTATATAGAATTAAATTCACAAAGATTTGTTTCCTTTCATCATTCCTTCTAGAGAAAGATTGTTTTTGTTGGTCAAGGCATCATGCTGGCTCTGTTTTTTTAATTATATATTTTAATTATATATTATATATTTTAATGTATATTTGAATTATATATTTATTAATTTAATTTGTTACTTTATATTTTGTTGTTTTGGGGGCTTGTACTCAGGGCCTGGTTGCTGTCACTGAGTTTTTCTGCTCAAGGCTAGTACTCTACCACTTTGAGCCATAGCTCCACTTCTGGTTTTCTGGTAGTTAATTGGAGATAAGAGTCTCACAGACTTTCCTGCCTGTGTTGACTTCACTCTGGGCCCCCCAGATGTCAGCCTCCTGAGCAACTAGGATTACAGGCATAAGCCACTAGCACAGGGCAGAAAATTACTCTTTCTTTGGCTATTATTCAATTCAATAGATGAACAACAGAGCATAAACCTCAACCAAAGCGAATTGTTAGTTTTTAGCTTTCCTGTTCTAGTCTTAAGGAATGCCAAGCCTATTTTTGTTGGTAAATAATCTCAACTAGTTTGACCATGGCGTGGAGATGGGTAGAGTTGGCAAAAAAGGACATTAAATTAGTTTTTGTAATGAAAGTATAGCAGTCAACTATGTGTTTTAGAGGAAGATGATAGAATTTTAGCTCTACTGAGATTCCATTGCTTAAAAAAAGATATACTTAGTGCTGGTGGTTCATACTCAGAAGGCTGAGACCTGAGAATCATGGTTCAAAGCCAGCCTAGGCAGGAAAGCCCATAAGATTTTTTTTTTTATTGTGAAAATACTGTACAGAGGGGTTACAATTACATGGGCAACCCATAAGATTCTTATCTCCAGTTAACCACCAGAAAACTGGATGTAGAGCTGTGGCTCAAAGTGATAGAGTGTTAGATTTGAGCAAAGAGCTTAGGAACAGTGTCCAGGCCCTCAGTTCAAGCCCCACATATAACAAAAATGTTATGTATAGAAAAAGTTTGGGATTTGAGTAAGTTCATTAAGCCATCAATAGCAACCATTAATGTAGTATTTCACTATTTGAAGTATGGTGGCATTAGTAATGTAGTAATGTATTCCTTGCCCACTGCTCTGACGGAGAAACTGGAGGTGAATGTTTTATATGCCAGTGCCCTTTCTATTCATATGATTTATATCCTCTGTTCTTCCTGCTGAGAGCAAATGTGACCCTTCATTGTGGGAAACATCTTGGAGCTTCCGTAGAAGTCATTTGGTGGAGGAATCGGAATTTCATCTCCAGGTGTGGCTGCAGGCCTAAATCCCACTATTTTCTCTACTGACATCCATTGGGGAGTACCATCTATCAAACAATGGTAGACCCGAGCAATTTGCAATCTCCTTTCTTTATTAAATACACAGCCAGCATTTTGTCTTCATTACTAGATAGCTTTCTGGAAGCCTCTTGCTGTGTCTCGGTTTCTACAAGTATAGTGGGTATGCAAGCATGAGCCCTAGCTGACAGTACCCGATCAAGTGAATGGGAGGTGGCAGGAATATACTGGAGTACACTGGCCTTTATGCTTCTGTTCCTCGGTCTTGCCTCCAGGTTCTGACTCTTACTGATATTCAGGCTTACTGCCATTGTTTTCTTCGATTACCACTGTACAGGACTCCTTTTACCCTTGAAATCACACACACACACACACACACATCTTCAGCCAACAGAGTTATGTATCTTTCTCACGCAGTTGCTTCAGAGAAATAGGGCTATGTGGCTCCTGCTCCATCCCTGGCACTGTACCCAAGGTATTCACTCACTGGGGCCTGAATTAAGATGAATAAATGCCCTGGCACCAGTCACTCACATTTATCATCCCAGCTACTCAGGAGGATGAGCTCTGAGGATCACAGTTAAAAGCCAACCTGGGCAGAAAAGTCCATGATAATTTTATCTCCAATGAACCACCAAAAAGCCAGAAGTTGAGCTGTCCCTCAAGCCGTAGAGCACCACCTTTGAGAAAAGGAAAAGAATAAATAGATCTATCCATGTTCTTTCCCTGGCACTTTCTGGAAAATCCTCACTCAGTCCTCACCAAAATCCTCACCTCATGGTGACTGCCTGTCAGCCTGGAGACTTCAGGCTGTTCCACAAGCTCCCAGCAGAGGAAGCTGAACCCAAAGGCCTAGTTGGGAGTTAACACATTTTGCCAAGGGGACATCCACTTAGTAACTTTGCATTGCTGAGATAAACCCTGTAGAGGAGGAAATATTTTATTTTGCGGGAATCTATTCCCATAGCCTGAGACAAGACTGAAACCTCATAGCAGGAACCACTAGGTGGAATGAAGTCTTCAATTCATGGTAGTTTGGAATTAGAGCAGGAGAGGGAGGAAGAGGGAGAGAGAGAGGGAATGGGAGAGGGAGGAAGAGAGAGAGGGAGAAAGGGAGGAGAGAGGAGAGAGGAGAATGTAAGAGAAAAGAGGGAGAGAGATGAGAGAGAAGAGAGAGGATAGAGATGAGATGAGAGACAGAGAGATGAAAGAGAAAAGAGGGAGAGAGAGGAGAAGGCTAGAGAAAGACAGATTGAAAGATATGAGTTGAGAGGGAAAGATGAGGGAGAGGGACAGAACAGAGACATATTCAGGGAGAGGTGAGAGAGAGAGAGAAAGAGACAAAGATAAGAGAGAATGAGAAACTTGAAAGAGTAAGAAAGACAAAAGGAGAGGAGAGAGAGGGAGTTGAGAGAGACAGAGAGAGAGAGGGAGAGAGAGAGAGAGAGTATTGATGTGGTATATTTTCTTGCAATGCTGTCCAGCAATGTTCTTCCCACACAGAGGTCCCAGGAATTAAATATTTTTGACTATTGTGGTCACTCCTTGCATGGGCCGGTTTCAGATCCACATTTGACTTTTAGACAAAGATTACATTAACCTACTTTGACTTTGTATAGTGCCTAGAAAAATAAATCAAATTTTTATTTTTTTATCATTTTGAAGCATATATTTAACATAATTCATTTTCTTACTCTTAGTTTGAATGTATCATCACCTCTCTGATATTTCTACATGTCTGTAAACATGTTTTCTTGCATCTGTTGTATTCCATATTGAACTCTAAAGGCTGTTAGAATAGGGAAACTTAGATAAATATGGTTGACAGACCAGGATGGGATCTCAGGCTTAAAAGAGCTTGTCAGTTTCTTGTAGTATTAGAAAGTGAACAAGGTTCCTCTTTTCCTCTTCAGTTCATTCCTTTCCACTCCTGGGTCTTTTGTTCTAAAGCCATTAGGTGGAGTAAGCAAGTTGTCTCCACATTGGGGTAGAGGTCAAAGCTATGGTGGCTCAAAGTCGGGAAGTTGGGATGAGAAGGCATGTTTATGGGGGTAAGTCTGGCCTGAGTGTGGGGGTCCAAGTAAGGTGATAAACGGTGGGTAGCCTCTCATAAGCAGCCTTTGCTTAAATGGGGTGAGGAGAGGAGGGTGTCCATGAGATGGAGGTAGTAGGTTGAAGTTGACTAAAAATGTATCATATAGCTGGGCGCCAGTGACTCACACCTCTAATCCTAGTTACTCAGGAGGTTGAGATATGAGGACCATGGTTCAAAGCCAGCCTGAGCAGAAAAGTCCTGTGAGACTCCTATTGACAGTGAACAAACAACAACAACAACAATAGCAAAATCAATTGAAGCTGTGGTTCAAGTGGTAGAACACTAGCCTTGAGCAAAAACAAAACAAAACCTCAGTAACAATGCCCAGGCCCTTGATTTCAAGTTTAAGGACAGTTGCACGCACACACACACACACACACACACACACACACACAGATAATAAAATAATGTCATAGATTGGTGATATTTCAGAGTTAAGGAGGGTTATGAAACCCAAAACCATTTGAGAAGAAGTACCCACAGCTAAGGAAGCTAAGGAGATGAGACATGGAGACATGCTTGGGCTGGATGCTTCTGCTACACTGGACATTACTGAGACAGTAGGGGCCAGTGATTTGAGTGAGCACTAGAGGGCAGTGTTGCATTAGTGTTCCTTTCCTGCTTCTGAAAGGTTGCTTTGTGGAGATTTAGCAGAATGACCCCGTTTGTAGGAAGATAATGTGTTCTACAACTTGGGGGACAATTTACTTTCTGATCCTTGAGGGAAAGTCTTTTCTTTGAACTAACTGCGTGTGGTTTTGTCATTCTTCAGGGAGGAAACAGGCACATGGGTATATTTTATTTATTTATTTAATTTATTTTTCAGATTTTTTAGTTCATTGGCTCATTATCTTGAAGTGGTTGGACAGAGGAGTTAAGATTCAGCATGTCACTTTGGGAGTACAATGCATCTTATCAGAGTCACCCCTTCTGTTATTTTCCACCATCTCTCCCAACCCCAGCCATCCTCTAAATTTACCAGATTTCATTCTCATATACATTGAATATTCTGAAATGCATTCATCCATTCTTCTCCCCACGTATCTCCCCTTCCTCCCCTATCCCTCACCTCTGCTCCCCAAAACACATGTTCCAGTTTCTTGATATCTATTTTGTTAAACTGTTGAGTTGTTTAAAGGACTTATTCCACTGGACTTCTCCTCTGTATCTACCCTGTATCTACTTTAATATGTGTGTGCATATGTGCATACAACCCTGTATATGCTTATGTATATATATATTTATTTATTTATTAGTTTTCACTTCCACACTTGTGAGAAAACATGAGTCCTTTGTCTCTCAGAACCTGACTTCTTTCACTGTGCATGATTCCCCCCCCCTGCAAATGACAAATTATCATTCTTCCTGATAGAGAAGTAAAACGGTGTCTTTTCCTCCACTTTGGCTTCCTGTCTCTCACCTTGGCCTTGCAGGTCCTCTTCAGTCCTCTATGGAGACAGCATCCCACTGTCATAGACAATGTGAGCTTTGAAGCGTGGCGCTCCTACATTTCGAATCTCAGCTTTGGGCCAAAGCTCTCAAGTCTCTACTAAATAGTGTAACTCAGCCCACAGGTTTGGGCTGAATTTCTGCTTCTATCTGCCTCTTGAATGAATACTATTGAACACGGATTAGTCCCTGCCTGAGACAGGGATTCTTTGCCTGTGGTTTCTCAAGAGAATTCTCCCAGGAAGGGAAGGAGAGGAGCTTGGTAGGGCCAGGGCCCAAGGGAAAAGCTGGGTAAAGAAGATGTTGTCTTATGGGACATGAGTCAGCCTCACCCCATAGCAAGCTGTTTAGCCACAGTTGCATTCAAGTTCACTGTTAAGAAAACAGGGCCAACGTAAAGACTACAGACATATAAACTCTTACTTGAAGTGACTTTCGTTTAGTCAAGGATGATTCTCTAGGAAGTGGCACTGTGGCTCAAGTGGTAGAGCGCTGGCCTTGAGCTGAAGAGCTCAGGGACTGCGCCCAGGACCAGAGCTCCAACTCCCACAACTCACAAAAAAAAAAAAGGATGACTCTCTAAAATATGGACCCACCATGAACTGTGGGCAGTTAATGCTGTGACTGGGATAATGGTCCTTGCTCAGTCAAAGGAATCTGGTGTCTTCTCTGCACACATTGATAAGCTTTGTTACATTGAGAAAATCATCCACTACCTTATTACATTTGTGGTATGTCACCTCCCCCATCTACAGGCTGAGACAATGCTATAGACTGTGACACTTGATAAAAATCTGATGATCATGCCCATAATCCTAGCTATTCAGGAGGTTGGGGTCAAGGATCACTGTTAGAAGCTCAAGGCCTTCCTGGGGAAGGAAAGTCTGTGAGACTCTTATCTCCACTTAGCCACCAAAAGCAAGCGTTGGAATCAGAGCTGCGCCTCAAGTGATAGTGCAGTGGCTTTGAGCACAAATGCTCAGTGCCCATACCTTGAGTTCAAGACCCAGAATCAGCACAAGAAGAAAAAAAAAAGTCTGATGATTGTGTGATGTATTTAAGACATGGGCCAAGTGTAATGATGAGGCCTCGAATAGCCAATATTCATTTCCAAGACTCGATTCCAGCATTGTCAACTTCAGATTCGATTTCTTTTTAGGAAATAACATTACAGAAACTTTCCATGGAGGTTTCCATGAAATTGTTGGTGCCACAGAATCACTCAATTCTCTATCATTAATTCAGTCCCTTCCTTCCTTGCTCAGCCATTGTGGAAGCCTTAACTTAAGCTCATCTCCAACCAGAGGAAAGTGCTCCAATGGATGTGAGCCTATTATATTTTAGGAAGCTTCCACAGAGATTTTTCCTTCTAAATTTTGTTTTCTGTCCATGTAAGTAGCCATCTCTGAGAGCCGACACCAGCAGTGTGCTCCAGGGAGAGCTAGTTTTCTATTCTCAACCTGCCCAAAACTGTCTAATTATAATATGAACTTTCTAAGGTTTCAGCGGTTAGTAGAGGGCTTGGTTTAATGTTCTACAAGGATTATGTCAGTCAGCCGGGTTAGAGAAAGTACAAGATAAATATTATGACTGCCAGCTGGCAAGTGTTGGCTTTTTAGGGTAGCCAAGCCTGCTGAGATTACTTCCTGTTGTTCTGCAGTGAGGTTTGCCAGTTTCCTCCAGATATCAAAGTTCTGGAGTTGTACTTTTCTTCCAGGAGGCTCACAAAATGTGGGTCTTCAAAGAGAAAAAAGAACGAAAAGAAAACTATATTGAATTGTCTCTTTATCTTGCAATTATCTCTTTATTATTATTATTTTTTGGGTCCTGTCATGGGGCCTTGTTGGGAGCCAACAGTAAAGTTTAAAGGTCATCTTGACCCTGGTGCTCACTTGAAGGCACAAGTACAAGGAACTGGCTTGCTTAAAAAACACCAGATGCCTGGGATTGCTTTGCTATGTCTGCAGAGTTTGTTTTACTTTCTACCAGTTGACCTTGTCTTGTTTTTACTACACTCTGTTTTTACTGAAATTTTCCTTTTTTTTCTGGACTATTGTAACCTTATGTTACCTCTTGACTTCTAATAGTATATATTAGGGAAAGTTAAAAATAAACTGTGCTGCAGTCTTGAGCTGCAGACCTCCCAACCCCATCCTTTGTCTTATGTCTTTATTTTTCCGCATCCTCATCCCCTAATTCAGAACTCCCTTTCGTTGCCAGCAGGCTCCGGCAAGTGGCGCCTGAACAGGGACCTGAAAACCTGGGATCAAGGCAGAGGACCCTGCTAAGGTAAGAGGACGTCCAGAAATAGAGAGCGGGAGAGAGTATAGTTGGGAGTACGAAATTATGGGGCAAAGTAACAGCCGCACGCTATATGTGCAGGCTCTCAAGGGTATGCTTCACGCTCAAGGAGTGAAAATTAGACAGAGTCAGTTAGAATGTTTCTTTCACTTTGTTGAGGAAGTATACCCCTGGAGGAAGGAACCATTAGTTTAGAAACTTAGCAAAAAAAAAAAAAAATGGAAAAAAGGATTCAGGGACACTATGATACAAATGGCCGGTAAGTTAAAACATTGCTGCTTTGTGATTGTCTGGTATCTGTGTAGCCTGCAGGTTCTGTATTGGGGTTGGCAAGAGTATTGGCGGAGGCGCTATAAGACAGCCAACGGGGTCGGTGGGAGACGTCCCCCGGATCCCCATCAGGGTAAACTATCCACTAGTGCGGACATTTGGGCCCGTCTGTAGTCCGGCACTTTCTGTCTGACAGTCTACAATGCACATGCTGTAAATGTGCTTTGTCTCAATGTTTGTGTGTATGTATTCTGGAATTCTTGGAATGTTTCTTCTCTCAGATTCATCCTGATGTGAGAGCCTGGAGGAGACTGGCTAACACCCCCTCAATATCTGTTTCTCTCTAGCTCCTTCTGTTTTACTTACACTTTAAACTGACCCCCTTTCTACCCTTCACTGCCACCTCCTCCACCCTCTCTGGATCCAGAAGTAGGGGAGGTGGGCGGTGAGAAACCTGGAGAATCTAACAATAACTTAAAAGGGCCGGCAAGGAGAACTCGCAGCCGGATAAAACTGCTACTGACCACCTGCAAGATCTTAGCCTCAGGCCTTGGCCCAGGGGGTCTGAGTATGGGGGAGAACCTGTCAGTCTTAGGGGACGGCCACTAGGGACTTCTTTCCCTTGCCCCAAGATGACTGAGAATTCTCCTCCACCTTAGAAGGCCCCTGGGTCAACATTAGCAGGAATCTAAAAGAAAAATGCTCCAGAGGTGAGTAGAGAGGGTTTGAGTCCCCTGGTCAGTGGATTTGAGTCCCACTTGTGAATGGTGGTGAGATGTTGCCCCATTCACTGAGACCTGATTTTGTCTTTGTGGCCACTTATCTGTCTTGTTTACTTTGGTGTGTTTTCTGAGGTAGGGATAAACTGGGGGCCCATTAGCCCCCAACTCAGCCTTTAGTTGTTGTCTTGTCTAGTTCAGTTTTAGAATTGGTACTAGTTTTAAGTGTATGTACAACTGATTTTGATTTTTGCATGCTTTAAGATCTGTGTGTGTTTTGTATGTGTTTGTGAACATGTTCAAGATAAGAATTAGGGCTGGGAAGGTGGCTCAGTGGTAGAGCGATTGCCTTGCATGCCTGAGGCCCTGGGTTCGATTCCTCAGCACCATATAAGCAGAAAGAAAAAAGCCGGAAATGGTGCTGGGGTTCAAGTGGTAGAGCGCTAGCCTTGAGCTGAAGAGCTGAGGGACAGCGCCCAGGCCCAGAATTCAGGCCCCATGACCGGACCCCCCCCCAAAAAAAAAAGATAAGAATTATCAGCATGCTGTAATAATTGGGTGTTTAAGTTAAGTTTAAAATTCAAAAGGTTATGAGGTTTGGACATTACCAAAAATTTTAAAGAATTTTCATATTGTTTCAAATGACTTTTTAAGGATTCTTTAACTTAAAAATAAAAAATCTGGTATTTTAAAATGCATAAGGCTGTTTACCCTGTAATCAAGTTATCTGGCTTAACAAAAATGCATTGGCTGTTTGGAATTTAGTTCCCTTGTCTAAAATTTGGGGATAAATATTAGAAGTTTAAATATAAAAGTTTGTTTAACACTGTCAAAGACATTACCTGTTCTGTCTGTCTAAAACTGTGTATTTTCATTCAAAAACCAAGAGATAAGAAAAGGAAAAAACTTAAAAGCCATCAAAAGACCTATCTTTAGGGGTAAGGGGTAAGCAGGCAAAAGTGCAGTTCAGCTGGTCATACATGGTGGGACGGGCCATGGGAGGAGTCCACGCATGGTAAAAGAGGACAAGCTGGCCCAAACGCAGTTCATCTTACCCTAAAGAGTGAGATCAGGTGCGTGCCCATTCCACAGGAGGGGCCAAGTGGCCCAGCTTTGTTCTGTCCTTTTTCTCTACAGATAAATATTAAAACATGATTAAAATTAGTGATGTGATGATCTGATTAGTATTGCTAAAACTGGCCCTTGGACTTAAAAAGAGGGTTAAAAAATGTATTTGTATAATGCGACTTGCTTTCTACAATTAGGATATGTTTTTTTTTTTTTCCAGTCGTGGGGCCTGAACTCCGGGCCTGGGTGCTGTCCCTCAGCTCTTCAGCTCAAGGCTAGCGCTCTACCACTTGAGCCACAGCACCACTTCTGGCTTTTTTCTTTTTGCTTATATAGTGCTGAGGAATCGAACCCAGGGCCTCAGGCATGCAAGGCAAGCGCTCTACCACTGAGCCAACTTCCCAGCCCCCTAGGATATGTTTTTGAAAGTCATAAAGGTGTTAAGTCTAGCTTCTTGGTACAGTGATGGTGATTGTAATTCTTACATTAAGGAAAAATTGTCATTAAAACAAGCATCCAAGAGACAATTAATGACACTTGGCCTCAAGATTTTAAGGGATTTTAAAAAATAAAACAAGCATCCAAGAGACAATTAATGACACTTGGCCTCAAGATTTTAAAAAAATGTAACTAAAAACTAAAATATAAAATAATAAAAGATTTATAAGAGGCTTAAAAAATTAGGAATGGATTTCTGGATATAAAGTTTAAAAGTAAAATTGTTCTTAACATTTGCCTCAAAGTGAAAAAATTAGAATTAACAAATTAATTGCTTAATTGCTATTCCAGTTTGCTCTTATAGGTTTTTTAAGTTTCCAGCAAGCCAAGAGCAAAGCACAGAGGATTCTTATAAGTTTGTCAGATATAACTTTGGCTCTTAATAAGTTTCAGGTAAGAGCATGCTTAAAAGCTACTTCTATGTTGACTACCTTGTTGCTTTTAATTGGAGTAAAGTGGCCTTTTATAAGACTAATTGATCTGCAAACTGGTTCAAAGCCAGCCCGGGCAGAAAAAGGTCCCTGTGAGACTGTCACCTCTACTCAGCAGAGTTGCTTTGGGACTCAAAGTGACTGAGCGCTAGCCTTGAGCTGAAGAGCTGAGGGACAGCGCGCAGGCCCAGAGTTCAGGCCCCACGACCAGACCCCCACCCCCCAAAAAAGTGGCCACCACAGCTGAGATACAGACTCATCTAGATTCCAGTCAGTGTATGAATAGATAGACACCTTGTGCTATAAATATACACTAGAGTATTATTTATGTACAAAGTGCTATTTGGTTGATAACAACAAAATGGATGGAACTGGAGGACACTGTTAAATGAAATATACAGAAAGATAAATTCTTCATGTTCTCTTTCACATATGGATGCTAAAAAAAAGTGTAGCCAAGTGCTGTTAGTTCATGCTTATAATCCTAGCTACTCAGAGTCTGAGATCTGAGGATCATGGTTCAAAGCCAATGTGGGCAGGAAACTCCATGAGACTCTTATCGTCAATAAACTACCAGAAAAAAGCCAGAATGGAACTGTGGCCCAAGTGGTAGAGCACTAGGTTGGGTAGCTGAGGATTACAGGTATGAGCCACCAGTGCCTAACTGGAGCCACTCTATTGACACCCAGAACGATGCCAAGCAGTATTTACTGGAAGATGGAAAGATGGATAGGAGGCTGGAAACAATACCAAACCCCCACAATATACAAAACACCCTTAGCATAAGCTCTGGATTCCTATAACATAGTGGGCAATCAGAGGCCACAGTTACCTGCTGTATATGTCATAAATAATGGATGGGTCAAAACTCTGGATAACCAAGAATTGATTTCTAATATCTCTTCTGCCCGTGCAATGCTACATATCAGCTACAGCTGTTTATGGAAGACTGATTTTGCAATGACTGACACGCACATCCTTGGAGCCCCATCTACTCAGCACTTAAGCAGCATTACACAGCAACAGGTACGGGAGAAGGATTACTGAAAGCATGATTTCTTCCTGTGCCAATTGTCTCACACACATGATGGTGTCCTGGGCTGTCTTTTTTCCTCTCCTTTCTTACTTTTCTGGTTGTTAACTGGAGCTAAGAGTCTCACCAACTTTCCTTCCCAGGCTGGCTTTGAAGTGCAATCCTCAGGTCTCAGCCTCCCCTTAGTAGCTGGGATTCCAGGCATGTGCCACTGGTGCCTGGCTCACCTCAGTTGTTGTGAGCTGGTTTTCAACCTGCTGGTTCCCCCTGAAGTGACAATCCAGTCCCTTCCCTAAGAGCTGTGGCTCTCTGATAACAAGGTCAATGGAAAATTTCAGCATATGCCTAATGGGAATGAACTTTATTTGCCTCCTCTCCCATTTCCCCCATACCTAGTATGACAACACTCAATGCTAGGTCCTTTGGCTCCTGTAACAAGTATATTAAATGACAGGAATTTATTTTGAGCATCAGTGGGTCAAGACACAGATGATGAATCATTATGGGTCAAAGTAAAATATTAGCATCTTTTTATTCCCTCTGCCAGTCACTGGGCTAGGATGGGCCACGTGAGCATCTTCTAGCCAATGAGGCTAAAGGAAAGTCAGCCAGGGATCCTGAGTAATGTTTCCTTCCACCATAAGAAATACCGCTGGGAAAATTCCTTGTCTTCTCACCTTCCCTTTCTACGTGGTCACATTTTTGTGTGAAGATGCAATGCTCAGAGCTACAGCAGCCATATTGCAAGTATGAGGAAAGATGTATAATCTATAAAACAGGGGCTGAATGATTCTGTATTTCTCCAAAAGCCAAGATAGACCCAAACTGACCTGTAGTGGGCTTGAGACCTACATCCTTAAAAAAAATCTTTGTAGAGATGAAAGTAGCCAGCTAAGTGTCTGACTCTTGGCAGTCATTCTATAAATAGTCATTTTATGTCAAAGTTCAATCAGCATCTCAGACAGGACAAAGTTACAGAGTAACATCAAATTGCACAATGTAGTTTGTAGTTTCTTTTTATCAGCAAGAGACATATGAGTTCAAGTTATTTTGCTGAAAATGTGGTCAAGTTTGGGAGCTGGTTCAGTGTGGACTGCTGGCCTTTTATGGTCTATTGAACCAACTATCTCACCACATGTGGTCAGGGTGGCAGACTTCATAAATGTGTCAAAACTTAATTTCCTGGACTCAAGTTCGGGTTCAGCTTGTAGGAATACCCACACATTTGGGAATACCAAATCCTACATTCTCTGATGCCCTTAGGATCTTGAAGTTCTCCCCCTCCCTCCCTCCAGCCCAAGCCCAAAAGTTCTTCCCTCTTTCTCTTCATCTAGGGTAAGATTCATTTAAAATATATGATAAAAGGAAGAAGAAGCCAGGCGCCAGTGGTTCACGCCTGTAATCCCAGCTACACCGGAGGCTGAGATCTGAGAATCACAGTTCAAAGCCAGCCAGGGCAGGAAAGTCCGTGAGACTCTTATCTCCAATAAACTAATAAAAAAAAAAAACTGAAAGTAATGCTGTGGCGTAAGTGGTAGCGTGCTGGCCTTGAGATGAGCTCAGGGACAACTTCCAAGCCCAGAGTTCAAGCCCCACAAAAACAAAAAACAAAAAACAAAAAAGGAAGAAGGCTCTCAATGCATTTAGTGAACTATTTCATGCACATAATAAAAGTCTCAGACTTGTCAGAGAGCCACCAGTGTCCTAATTTACCCTCAGGCCAACCATACTCTCCACCCTCTAGGCACTGGGGATTCTTTCTCTGATCAAGAACAAGTTGTATTCTGTTTCAGGGCCTTTGCCTAGCAAATTCTGCCATGGGTAAATCTCTTTCCCTGACTGTTTATAGAATAGATGCCTTTGTTTTTTGTGAAACTGGGGATTTGAAAGCAGATCCTTATCACTTATTAAGCAGGAGTTCTACTAATTAAGCAATACTTCTAGCCTGTTTTGGACGGGTTATTTATTTATTTATTTATTTTTATTTTTGTTGGTCATGGGTCTTGAACTCTGGGCCTAGGCACTGTCCCTCAGCTCTTCATCTCAAGGCTAGCGTTCTACCACTTGAGCCACAGCTCCACTTCCAGTTTTCTGAGTTTATTGGAGATAAAGAGTCTCACGGCCTTTCCTGCCCAGGCTGGCTTTGAACCACAATCCTCAGATCTCAGCCTCCTGAGTAGCTAGGATTCCGTGGGTGAGCCACTGGCACCTGGCAGTTTATTTATTTGTTTGTCAATTGTGGGGCTTGAACTCAGGGCCTGGGCAATGTCTTTGAGCTCTTTTGCTCAAGGGTAATGCCCTAACACTTTGAACACAGCTCCACTTCTGGTTTTCTAGCAGTTCATTGGAGATAAGAGTCTCATGGACTTTCTTGCCTGAGCTAGTTTGTAACCTCAATTCTCCTATCTCAGTCTTCTGAGTTGCTAGGTAGCATGAGCCACTGGTGCCCGGCTCTCTCTTTCTTTCTGTTGATACCAGTTATGCAGATGAGGAATTTAGTAAACGAAAGCTATTGTCTTTGCGGCTACATTGTGTGCTATATTACCACTACAGTGGGTATGTTCTAGAAGCTGCACAGAGTAATATTAATAATCCCCTGTTCATGTGTGTGTGAGAATGCATGTGCGTGTATGTGTGCTCGAGCGTGCGTGCGTGCGTGCGTGCATGTGTGTGTGTGTGTGTGTGTGTGTGTGTGTGTGTGTGTGTGTGCGCATGCTGCTATTAGGTCTTAAACTCAGGACCTCATACTCATTCTTCACTTTTTTCAATCAAGGCTGGTGTTCTATCACCTGACTTACACCTCCACTTCTGGCTCTTTGTTGGTTAATGGGAAACAAGAGTCCATCAAATTCATCTTCCTAGGCTGCTTTTGATCCTCTGATCTCAGATGTGAGCCCCCAGCATCCAGTCAGCAGGAGAAGAGGTATTAATCTCTCCTCGATAAAGTATTTTGTTGGGTTAACACATTAGCCATGGGGCTGGGAAGGTGGCTCAGTGGTAGAGTGCTTGCCTTGCATGCTTGAGGCCCTGGGTTCAAGCTTGCCTTGCATGCTTGAGGCCCTGGGTTTGATTCCTCAGCACCACATAAGCAGAAAAAGCTGGAAGTGGCACTGTGGCTCAAACAGTAGAGTGCTAGCCTTGAGCTGAATTGCTGAGGAACAGTACCCAGGCCCAGAGTTCAAGCCCCCTGAATGCCAAAAACCAAACAAAACAAAACATTAGCCACTAGAAGTGAACAGGGCTCAGTTTCTACTCTTGGTAACAGGGAGGCAGTAGCTCACAATCCTGCTTGGCAGTGCCCAGTCAGACCAAGGAATGGTGGCAGGAATAGCATCAGAATTCCCTAAACTTTCATCTTTTTTTAAAGGGATTGATCCTCCAGCTTCCAGGGTCTATCTTTTGTTGATATTCAAGCTTGATGCGATTTCCTCCTGTCCCTGAAGAGGATGATGGTGTAGAAAAGGAACTGTGTGGCCTCCACTATACTCTGGGCATCATATTTAAACATGACATATGTACACTTGTCACTGAATCGAGAATGAAAAATGTGTGTGTGTATGTGTGTGTGTGTATGTATGTGTATATGCCTTATAAATATCTTTTTTTTTTTGGTCCGGTCATGGGCTTGAACTCTGGGCCTGGGTGTTGTCCCTCAGCTCTTCAGCTCAAGGCTAGCGCTCTACCAATTGAGCCACTTCTGGCTTTCTTTCCCTGCTTATGTGGTGCTGAGGAATCGAACCCAGGGCCTCATGCATGCAAGGCAACTGCTCTACCACTGAGCCACCTTCCCAGCCCTGCCTTTTAAATTTCTTAAGCACAGCTATGGGTTTTATTTGGTGATTTGTGGAGATGGCCATCACCGAAGAGTGACAAGTATACTGGTAGAGATGTCAGGCTGCTCAATGGGTCCCCAAAGGAAGAAACTCAAGCAGGAGCGACAGTTAGGAAGGAATTCATATAACTCTGAGAGGTGGCATGGAACACCTAAAGGGAATTTACAGGCCAGCAGTATAGGAAGAATTGGTGAAGGCAACATGAGACCAAGATTTTGGGGAGTGTTAACACTCTATTGTGAAGATTTTGGGGCTTTTTCCTACCAAATAGCCTCCATGTCACTAGGTATCAAGGTTCATGGTGTGAATTAGGTGGATAACGTGGCTGGGAAAGAATTTTCCTGTGGGCTTTGATGGCTTCCAGATTCCCAGTCTCACCCCTGTCCCTTGAACTCCTCTGTGTGGCTCTTTCTCTCTTCTCATTTTCTCCACTCTTAGATCTCTGCTACCTACGTGGAATGAATGATTTCAGTTCTTCTAAAATGTGCTCATTAATGTATGATGTCACTGTTAATTAAAAGCCCAAACTGCTATATATAAAATATGTATTTAACATATACTTCTGAGGGAAAAGACTAAGAGATATAGAATGCAGAATTGAAAAACCCTTAAACTCACATATTTTCTTTTTTTCTCTGAAAGTATAAATGTTTATTTTACCTTCATTTGGTTTTAAAAAAATTATTGTTACTATAAAGGTGATATACAGAGGGGTTACAGTCATATAGGTCAGGTAACAAGTATATTTCTTTTTGGACAGTGTCACCCCTTTCCTCAGACTCTCCCCATTTAGTTTTTTTTTTTTTTTTTTTGGTTGGTTGTGGGACTTGAACTCTAGGCCTGGGCGCTGTCCCTCAGCTCTTCAGCTCAAGGCTAGCGCTCTACCACCTGTGCTACAGTGCCATTCCCAGTTTTCTGGTGGTTTATTGGAGATAGGAGTCTCACGGTCTCTCCTGCCCGGGCTGGCTTTGAACCGCGATCCTCAGATCTCAGCCTCCTGAGTAACTAGGATTACAGGCCTGAGCCACCAGCGCCCAGCTCCCCATTTAGTTTTATGGTAAGACTCTTTCATAGAATTATGCACAATATCTTTTTCTCTACTTTGCTCTACTCACTTTCAAGAACTTGTGTAGGGGGCTGGGAAGGTGGCTCAGTAGTAGAGTGCTTGCCTTGCATGCATGAGGCCCTGGGTTTGATTCCTCAGCACCACATAAGCAGAAAAAGCCGGAAGTGGCACTGTGGCTCAAGTAGTAGAGCACTAGCCTTGAGCTGAAGAGCTGAGGGACAGCGCCCAGGCCCAGAGTTCAGGCCCACAACTGGCACAAAACATAACAAAACAAAAAGAACTTGTGTAGGGCTGGGTGCTGGTGGCTCATGCCTATAATCTTAGCTGCTCAGGAAGCTGAGATCTGAGGATTGTGGTTCAAAGCCAACTCAGGCAGGAAAGTGAGTGAGACTCTTATCTCCAATTAACCACCAAAAAGCCAAAAGTAGAGCTGTTGTTCAAGTGGTAGAGTACTACCTCTGAGCAAAAGATGCTTAGAGACAGTACCCAGACCCTAAGTTCTCGCCCCAGGACCAACACACAGAACTTGAGTAAGAATCAGGCACCCATGGCTCATATATAATCCTAGCTGCTCAGAAAGTTGAGATCCAGTAGTTTGAGGCTAGCCCAGGCAGAAAAGTGCATAAGACTCCATCTCCACAAAGTCAGACTGGAGGCCTGGTTCAAGTAATAGAACACCAACCAAGCGAGCAAGCTGAGCACATGTAATGCCTTGTGTTCAAACTCTTGTGTCAATAAAGAAAAAAGAATTTGTGTGTAGTTCACTGCTAAGTTCTCTGGGGACCTTCAGGTGGGGTAGCCTTAATTATAGTATCTGTTCTCTTTCAGAGCTGCTGGCAAGAGCATTGGAAAAGATCATCTTTTTTGCTTCTGTGTTCCAGGCAAGTGGAAAAGACTGCCCTTTTTTTACCTCTTTATTTTTCATCCATCATCACAAAGACTGGGTCTGGCCCCAGATCTGCAATGTCCCCATAAAGACCATGTGCTCCCTAGCAGGAACACACAACCGGAGACCAGGACTGTCCCAGACCTGACTGCCCCCTTGCAATACTTAGGACTTTTGAGTGGTAATCAAGTAATTGCCTTCCATTTGTTATTGGAACTAGTAATCCCTTTTATAATCCAGTATTTTGAACATGTAAAAAGTCTATGGGAAGCCAGGTGCTGGTGGTTCATGTCTGCAATCCTCGTTACTCAGGAGGCTGAGATCTGAGGATCACAGCTCAAAGCCAGCCTGGACAGGAAAATCCATGAGCCTCTTATCTCCAATTAACCACCAGAAAACTGGAAGTGGTAGAGCACTATCCTTGAGCAAAAGAGCTCAGGGACAGTACCCACGCCTTGAGTTCAAGCAAAACAATTGACAAAAATAGTTCATGGGAAATAACAGACCATTGTCATGGATGCACCACTGAGGCGTAAGAAAAATTCCAATATAATTTATGGACAGTGTCTTTGAAGAACTGTTTTGCATTTAGATACCTCTCTGATTGAGCCATATTGCCTGTCGTTTTTTGCACTCTAGTGGCTCCTGTGTTTGAGTTCTTCACTTGAACTACGAGCTAATGTTGGGTCTTACAGTATGGGGCCTGTGGAGGTTGTAACATCCGGACCAAAGGCTGTCATTCTTAGGCACAACCCCAGCTGCTGAATCTGCTGAGGTTTATCAGTTGTTTCCTTAACCCATGTTTTATGACTTTTTTTAAAATCATAGCATGGAGATATCTATTTTTAATAATATTTTAAGATGCATTTATTAATGCTATTTGTATCATGACAGAGAGAATCACAGGACATCACCAACACCACTGCAGTCCCATTTTCCCCTTGTACCTGTGTGTTCCTGTTGCTCTAATAAATTCTTGAATTTTCTTTTGAAGTACTGGGGTTTTGAACTCAGGAGCTGGCATGATACGACTAAGCTACATCTCCAGCAATTCTCATATCTTAGTCAGTATGCATCAGTTATTTGTTCTGTTTTGTTTTGTTTGTGTGTGCCTGTCTTGGAGCTTGAACTTGGGGCCTGAGCACTGTCCCTGGGCTTTTTTGCTCAAGGCTAGTGCTCTTAACACTTGAGCTACAGCTCCATGCCTGGCTTTTTGGTGGTTCTTTGGAGATAAGACTCTCACAGACTTATCTGTCTGGGCTGGATTTGAATCCAGATCCACAGATCTCAGCCTCCTGAATAGCTAGGATTTCAGGTGTGAGCCACCAGCGTGTGGCTAGTGTTCATCAGTTTTACTATCTCTCATTTGTGTTGTATCTCTACATAAATTCATCACATGCACACGCTTATGCTATGATATACACTAGCTAAGATATGAAGCTGTTCCTTCATTATAGGCTCTTGTTTTGTCTGCCCTCATTTGTTTGTTTATTTGTTCACATATACATTATATATTATGTCTTAACATTATGCAGAGCAACTCCTCTCACTTTACTTACTTTTTTCTGAAGAATTTCTTCTATTCTTGTTCCTTTGCTTTCTCCTTCAGATGAGAAATAACCTTGTTTGTGTCTACAAAAATGTTCCTGCATATTGGTGAGGATTGCTTGGAAACCACAGGTCAATTTGCAGAAAAATCAGCACTCACTCTGCTGTGCATCAAGAGATCAACAACTGTGAAAGCCCTGGGAATTTACAATGAATCAGTTAAGGATAGGTGAAGAAATGATAAAAGAAGGAAGAGGGGCAGCGGGTAGCTGGTGGAATGAGAAAGCGTAAGAAAAAATACTGTGCAAAGAACACAGTAGAATTGTGAAGAAATGCAATATAATCAGAGAAAAATTTTAAGAAGATAAAAATAATAGTAAATGTACATCAAATAAATATCAAAATATTCCAAACAGAAGAAACATCAGTGTGTGTTCCTTGGCGAGCAGCAGAGCATCTTCCAGCTGTGCTGTGTCCCTGCAGAAGGCGTGTGCTAGCTGTGCAATGTCTCTGCAGCAGGTGTGCTTCAGCTGTGCTATGTTCATATACCAGCAGTGTTCCAGATGTGCCAGTCACTGCAGCAGGTGTGCTCCAGATGGGCCGTGTCCCTGCAGAAGGCGTGTCCCAGCTTTACCATGTCCCTGCGGCACGTGTGTTCCAGAGGTGCTGTGTCCACGAAGTAGGTGTGTTCCAGATGTGGTGTGTCCGTACGGCAGGTATGTCCCAGATGTACTGTGTCCACGCAGCAGGTGTGCTCCTTCAACTTCTAGCCCTCAATGTGCCCTGTTGTGGCTCTCTGGGCAATCACTCTGGGTACTTCTGGCCCTGGGATTGCATGTAATTCCTCTGGGTTCAATCTGGGTAAACTGGCTGATGGTTGGCTGAGACTCTAAGGCAGAGATAATGGTTGGAGGGCCTGTGAGGGGCAGCAGCTCTATAGATAATGGCTTAGGGACCCATGGCAGTGATTCTAGTGGGTGTGAGGCCACCCCAGGGATGCGCTAGAGTGGGTGCAGGCTAGGTAGAGTAATCTCTCATGCACAGCTAGTGCTGAGTCCTGCTCCATGGCTTGCCATCGGTAAGGATATCCTGCTGAGGATCTCTAGATCATCACAGTGAGGCTGGCCATTCTCCCCTACAGGACCATCAGTCCCTGGTGTTTTGTTTGTGCTGCTCTCTTGGAGCCCGTGGCCCACCCCACACCATCACTATGCCAAGGCTTGGGCCGCTCAGCAGTGACGGCCCCTCCCGCATCTCACTGAGGGGGCTCAAAGCTTGGGACTCTACCCTAGGGAAATGTGTTCTTTGTTCCTTTTATAGCTCTAAAGTTTAAAGCTTCTTATTTTTCCAATCTATATTCTTTTTCTTAAATATTGTTAATGTTATCGTTGTTATTAAGATGCTGTCCAGAATGGTTACTGTTTCGTAAGTCAGGTGATGAGATCATTTCTTTTTTTTATTGCTATTATAAAGGTGGTGTACAGAAAGAGTACAGTTACCTAAGTCAGATAACAAATACATTTCTTTTTGGACAATATCACCCCTTTCCTTGCTCTCTCCCAGTTTTTCCTCCTGTCCTCACCCACAAGTGGTATAGTGCATTTTTAACATAGTGTCTAATGAGTACCACTGCTGCGTTTGTTCACCTTTTGTCTCTCCATTTCTGTACCTCCCTCATACTGCCAAAGGTAAATGGACAAATAAGACAGAAAAGAAAAATAGTAGCAAAGAAAAAAAAAACCTCTTTTTTCCATTTCCTGGAGTTCATTTGATAAATATTATTTTATATGATCAGAGACATATAGACATTACACCTTTGTGTTCCTCTCCTAAGAGTATCCTCTTTTGATCTCAGTGTGAATGCCTAGAGTCCTGTACACTTTATCCTGTTCCTGTGTATTTTAGGTCTAGCTTCCACATATGAGAGAAAACATTTGTCTATGTTTGGCTTACTTCACTTGACATGATCAGCCTGGATTTTGCTAGATGGTGTCTCATAATTTTTTCTTCTGCCCAGGCTAGCTTGAAACCATGATCCTCCTTGGTAGACATGGTTATCTGCTGGCACCCAAATATGTAACTGAGGTTTCATTTCAGATTTGGATGTTCAGGAATATATTGGCATCTTCAGACTTAAACTGTTCTTTTAGTTCCTCATGTGTTTTTCCCCAATTTACAATTCAATGTTTATTTTTGATGTTTATTTGGTTAATATTTTCTACCCTGTGAAAGGTTGTAGTTCATGAGGTCAAGGATTCAGACTCTCCCATGTTTAGTGCTAAATACGTATTGTGAACATGGCAGGCATGCAGCCAAATCTCATCCAATACTAAGAGAGGTTGTATCTGCACTTGACATTCTCCATGGCACCCCTAAATGTGAAACTCATAAGAACTGTGTCTTCCTGTCCTCCAGCCACCAAAATGGGAACCTAAAATTGGCCAGATCAGGTTTCACCCAACTGTGAAGAACGGGCACCTAGCTAAAGGAAAGAATCTTGTTTTCATTTTCCTGGAGCAATTAGAGTTGTGACTTGTGAAATTTGAATCTAGTATGTAGAATAGTGCTTTCTCTCTCTCTTATTCTCTCTCTCTCTCTCTCTCACATACACACACACTCACACACACACTTTATACAATTTATTCATTTGGTGGAAATCAAGCAATTCATTCATTCAGTGGAAATCAAGACAGGCTTCCTATGAGAAGGACTGTTTGAGTGACCAGCACAAATCCTTGACACTGTGAGAGCATGGATCAATAATCCAATTACCTGAAAAGCTGAGTCTAATGTTTTCTGTGTGTTATCTGAAACTGAACTTTCACCTTTTGTTAAAGAGACAGGAAAACAGTGTCCATGTGAGCTGTATGTTTCTAATACCTGCATGATTAGTACTTGAATATGCTTGAATGATTTCATCTGTGTGTATCTGAAACCCAGCATTTTATCTGATTGTTACTCATCTGTGTACTTGATATAGAATGGATCTTTAAAAGTATACCATGTCCGGATTAGAGAACATTACTCAGTCGGTAGAGTGGTAGCCAATGAGTGAACATGTCAGGTACTGAGTTTGAGTTCCAGTCTCATACCAAAATCAAAAGAATATGCAATGCATTCAATGAGCATATAGGCCAGTGAGAGAACAGATGCTATTAGAACATTCTTCTGGCAAAACTAAATTCCTGAACATGTGCAGTGCAGCTCTTCATATGCCAGTCTTGGCATGTTCACAGTCCTTATCTTATATAGCATTAAATTCACAAAGGATTTCTCTCCTTTTATCGTCCTTTCTAGAGCAAGACCTTTTGTGTTGGTTAAGGAATAGAGCAGGTTCTGTTTGTTTTGGTATAAAAATTTATTCTTACTTATATATATATTTATTTTATTTCTCGCCTTGTTTTTGTCGTTCATGGGGCTTGAACTCAGGGCCTGGGTGTTGATTTT